TGATGTACTCAATACTGGCCCCACCTTGAGTACTGTGTTCAGTTTTGGGCACCTCAGTACAGGACATAGAAGTGCTGGAGCACCCAATGGTCCAAAAAAGGGCCCATGCAATCCAAACCATTCTATTATTCTATGATTATTCTGTGCTCTTAGAAAGGAGACCTGCTCAGCTCTGGAATTTAGACTACTACTCTCTTGATCCCTGTATAATCAAGATGTTATAATTACAATATAATTGTATAACCAATAGATATCAAGGTGTTATGATTACAATATAATCAAGAGAATTAGGCAAAGTAAACAACGATCACAAAAGAGAATTAGTGGAAGAGCTTACCCTTCAGCTGAGCTCACCAGAAGACACCAAGAGGGGTGATCTCCAGAAGAGATCCTTCCCCTCTGGTAGCCAGCTCTTAAATAGGTCTAGGAGGAGTGCAGCCTGGCTCCACCTCTTCCAGCAGCACAGGTGAATTGCCTTCAGCTGTGCTCCTCTGGCTGACTCATGGCTCGCCTCAGGTGATCAATCAGAGGTTCAGGCCGTGACTCAGCACTTCCCATACAATCCCTAAGATAATTAAATTACAACTGATATACTAAAGAGAACAGCAAGCTGAAAAGATCACTTTTCATCTTTTTTGCGGCAGCTGAGCTACTGCGACAGGAAGAAACAAAAGATTCACAGGAAAGACTAATTAAATCACTCAACATAGTTCCAATTCCTGGTTGGGAAAGAGTTGATACCTCTTTCTAAGATTCTTTACATTAACAGTTAAGGGAAAGAAAAAAATCTGAGAAGAAAGAATAGCATATAAACTAGATAAAAGAGGTATTTTCCCAGTCATTTATAATTTAATTAACAGCCCATATTTAATCAGAACTATAGAAATCCCAAATTAACATGCACAGAGCCTGAGTTTCATAGTATGAAGCTGAGCCAACCACTTTTACCTTAATGAGGAGTTTGTTGTACCTAGAAAACAACATTAAATAAAATTGTATTTGCATTAAGGAAAAAAAAAAAGGTGTAATAGAAATAAAAATGGAGGAACTGGAATACACAAAATGACTGTCTTACCATTGAATACATCTTCAATTCAAAGTATGGCAGATTTCCAGAACAGTAGCTGCCCAGACTGAAAGGAAAGCTTGACTAAAGGGATACACCTTGAATTTTGTTTTTTCACATCTTCTCACACATTGAAAATAACTCATTTGAGTCCAACTTTATGCTACATTTGGTAAAATGAATAAATGAAGACTGCTGAAATTTAGTGAAAATATTTACTAACTGACCACTTCTAGGATTCTAACTTTTAATTTGATTCTCTCCTAATACTGCATGTTGAAATTTGTTTAAACTGTTATTTTTAAAATCAAACTACTCCTTGTCTGTGAAAGCTCTTCAGGAAGGAGAAAAGCAATTTAATTCTCAAGTAAAGCAGTGAAACCACAATTGAACAAAATAACTGAAAAAAATATATTTCTGCTAGTTTGAATTAGAATCATGCATTTATGATTCATAGATAAAGCTACAACACAATCTTGCACACAGAAATAATATTTTCTAGACAAAACCGGCTTTCTAATTTTGAAAGGTTGTACTGACTACCAAATGATAGAAACAGTTGAGTACTACCATAATTTCTGTTATTTTCTTTAAATCATGATACTGGTGAGGAGGGGGGAGTGGGGGAAGAGGGAATGTTCAAATTCTCTGAGCAACATATTTGCTCTGGATAGGTGTGGAAACTAAAAAGGAATTATGGACATTCAACACATGCAAATAAAATTCTGCTGAAGAAGATCACTCATTAATGCTTATTGAAAAAACTGAAGTTATCACATCTCCATCCTAATCTTCTGTTTCTAATTAACAGGAAAAAAATGGATCTAAACAATAGCAAGGGATAAAAATGAAAATCAGGGAACAATACTTTAAACTCATTTTAATCATATGCAGATGAAATAACTGTGCAGCTCTGTAAATGTTATTTCTTTTAAAAGCATTTTTTCGTGCAGCAGGTTTTTTATCATTATTTTATTTATTTAAGCCCACTCATTTCTGCTTTTTAAACAGAACAAAGAGAGAATAAAGAACAAGTGATTTCTGGACTTTAGAGGAGATGGAAATGCAGATCAAATAATCCCTCACAGGCATTAAGAATTCTAAGTCTGACAAATTCAAACTTTATACCTGCACTCATTGAAACACCATACCATGCACAGAAATAAAAATCAAAGGGCAGATTAGTTGTTGCACTGGCCCAATTATTGGAAGACTAAGCCAAGGTGTGACTTGGATAGCAATATCAGAAAGCCAGAACAGATTTAAATTTAAAATATACTGGCTAGGTATAGCTAGTGCAGCTACAACTAAAAAGTGGCACTAAAAATCATTTAATAAGCTGCAAGCCTTTAACAGCTAGTCAATCACACATGACACTAAATAATGCTCACCTATGTTGCAAAGAAAACAAAAGCAAGGCTCTGAACAAACATTTAAGACAATAAATAGAATGCCGGGGAAAATCAATAACATGGAAATGAAAAAAAAATTCATTTTGCTGCAAATATATGTAATGATATATTATTTCTTCAGTAACAGTAATTACATCCTTCTGACTTTTAATCACAATAAAAAAAATTCCACTGTGCATTCCATTTTGTCTGTAGCTAATTTTCTTTTTTCCTTTCAATCTAAGAAGCACTTTCATTTGATGGAGTTTTTGATAAAAAGAGAACAAATTTACTGTTATTTCAAAACAATTCATGTTCTTTTTATACTAAATCTTCTTCCTGCTATACATTAAGCTGTTCCATTCTAATCTCAGCATGAAATATGCCCATGAATACCTTGACTCAACAAGGAGGGAACAAAGACTCCCATATTCCTTTAAGAAATCACACTGTCACATAATTGCATCTTCAGTGGTCAGGTAAGGTGGGACTTAAGCTCCGAAGGAGTTCTGAGCCTTATGCACCTAACAACTTGCTGACAAAGCACTACAGAGTGGGATTTTTAACATGCTAGCCTCTCACTCCCTAATTTAACATATCTGCTGCATAAGAGTGTTGTGTTCACTGGCATGCAATAGGCTCACAATATCCAGCAAGTAACAGATGTCCTGTGCTTCTGCAGCAGATGGGATTTCTTGATAAATGTACAGAGGCTGCTCCAAAAGTAATGCCTCCTATTTTATTATGTTGCTACGTGACACCAGAGGCAAATGGCGGTGGTAGAGGTTGAGCTTTCCCACCAATATCTTGTTACATTTTGTTGTGTCTGACAGATGGCAGCAGAGGGGCACTCCAACAAAACAGCATCTGACACGGAAGTGCGGATGAAGTACATGTGTGTCAGTGATTCCTCCGTGTGGAAAATACGGCACCAATGGACATTTACTGATGATTGCTAAATGTTTATGGAGATCAAACAGTGGATGAGAGCACAGTGCTGAATTTCACGAACAGCAACAGGGACAGTGAGTCACATCTGCCAGTGCAGATTTTTACAAGAGTGCTATGCAGATGGTTGTTCATTGCTGGTGAAAATGTGTAGTAACTCTGTTGTTACTACAATGTTTTGTAACTGACAATTTGCTCTATCAAATAGTGTTACTCTGCCCTTTGTTGTACCTTCCATGGAAATAAATAAGAGGCACTACTTTCAGGGAGACCTGTGTCTATCCAACCAGTCATTAAGGCTGGTTGGACAAAAATTCTAAATCCTCAGAAAGGAAAACTGACATGAAAAAAAGAAAAAAAAAAAAAGAAGAAAAAAAACCCCAGAACTACTACTACTAACATTACTAACCTTGGTTGTTTGCTGTCTGATTCAGAGCTTTTCATTATATTTAGGTATCAAATTCAGAACATAATATAATAAGCACATGATATGCCCAGAGACATAAAACTGAATAAATTTTGAACTTGCTAGAAAATAAGAATGATAAAATAATACTGGAAATGCACATTTACATTTATTAACTTATGCATTTCATAAAACTAACAGTGTTCCAGAAGAGCTCATTTGCCTGCTTGGTTGCATTTTTAAACTGTAATTTTCTTCAGGACAGGTTTACTAAAAATTTTGCTTCTGCCTTTAAAGGAATTAGTAGTTCACAACAATAATCTTCTGTGATATTTTGAGGCAATAATAAACATCCTCTGTGAAGATTTTGAAAGATAAAAAAGAAGGCACCTTTTCATGACTTGTATGTTTAACTTGCACTAGGTGCATTGGTATATCTATGAATACTCTCTCTGAAATGTATTTTTTGAATCTCGAATTACTGTCTCTGTTAACATGCACTCCCCTTCCTTAACCCTCCCAAAAAAAAGCTGCAACAAAAATAGAAGATAGATGATAGGGAAAAATAGCAATTAAGAAGACTGCAATTCTGTTTAAGCTTTCTTAAGGTAAGTTAAACCCAAAAAAGAATTAAAAAAAAACATACAAATGACGCAATAATACTACAAAAATAATTAATACTTTGTAAAAAGGTTTGAGCTTACTGTGGTCAGAGGAATGTTTTCAAAGATAAATCTACCTTTTTATCTGCAACTTTTAGAACAATTCATTTTGGGTAAAATAAGAAAGAGAGAAATACAATTCAGATCTCCAAGAACAGCATTCATTAGAACTGTACTAAATATGAAGTGGGCTCGTGATGTACATTCAGTGATGTAGAGTTTATCTACAAATGTCCCACTGACACTGAATCATGGCGAGTTATGCTCTCCATAAAGCAAATTCTTCCCATGAAAAAATCATCATAAATAAATCTATATTAAAACAAATGACCTATTTAAACCAAATACTGTAGTATTTATTTTGACCCAAATGAACAAAAGACTCAATGACCTGCTTTCAGAAAAAGTGTAGCTTCTAAAAAAGTCCTAGAGATCCTCTGTGTAGATATTAAGCACCATAAATATTGAACCTGCTAGCATTCCGAAAAATCAAAATTACAATATGAGAAAAAAAGTATTTTTCTTACCTGTGTATACAATTTTTCGATTCAAGGTACGCCATACCAGAAGCAGCATCTAATGAAAATTTCACTAACTGTTTGGTCTTCAGCTCATCCTTCTTTTTTCTTAAAAAGGACAGGAAATCGCCTCCTGGAGAAATGAGAAACATGTACAATAAGACATGACAGATAGGACATTCATATTTGTTTCTCATTGGGGTCAAGAGACCAAACAGAATGAAGTTATTCAGTGTAATTCTCAGCCCATCAGTTTGAAGTTAGCCTAAGAGAAGGAAGGAAAGAATTAATTACCAGGATGAAAACTGTACACTACATGATGAATAAAAGCTGCATTTTGTTACAAACAAAATCTTTAGCAGTGCAAAATTACATACAGACATTCATGAAAACTGCTGATAAAAACAACTTAAACTTTGTGACAAATACAGTTCTCCAATCACAGAATGACTGTTGTAGAAGTTTAAAATAATAGCTAATAAAATGATTACTTCCTATTGGGTAAAAGAAAACAGTTGATTTTAGAGTAAAGTAGAGTAGAACAACAGAATGGCTAGAAGAAGCTTTCAGAGATCTTACAGTTGAGTGGCCTGATCAGTCCAAGGCTAGCCAAAAGTTTAAGCATGTCATTCAGGGCATTATCCAAGTGCCTACTGAACACTGACAGGCATGTGGCATCATTCCTCCTTTCTGGGAAGGCTGTTGCATTGCCAGACTGCATTCATGGTAAAGACATTTTACCTCACGTTCCAATGATTTTTTTAACTGATTTGAGGTGGTGTTTCTCAAAGTACACTGAAGCCAGTGGAGGGGTAACAAAGTGTTTTATGTTTTACTTGTCAGGCAATGTGAGCCACCTATTTGGTGCCAACAATCAAAAGCAAACAAATATTACTGTAGCTCCACAGTTCATTGTTTTGCAGTACCTAATTTGTTGCTGTCCTGTCTCAGGAGGAGAAGCTGCAAGCAGAAAGGATTCCTGAAAGGCAATCTGTGTTTGTAACCAAAATTCTCTGAAAGCCTGACTTACAACAAACATAAGTAGTGGAGGCATTTCTACAAACACTGCAACATCATGTTCAGATTGAATATTTGTATTAAAAATGTATTTGAAAATATATTTCAAAAACAATATATATATTGTTCGAGGCAAAGACTAAAAATCATAGTTTTATATGAAGCTTTCCACGTCACAATATTGTTTGAAAAAGTGTAGCCAGCTCTTGCTCTAGTCTCTTGTTTCTCTTCTCAATGCACTAAATTGACAATATCAATTCTCTCTTGCAAGTAATTGCACTGCAACACAATTTCATAAACTACCTTTCTTAGCAAAGTAGAAAGACATTATATAGCTAGAAGTCTCATGTGGAATTTTCTTTGCAATTCAGTTCTATTTATATTTCATATTGTAAGAAATACAACCAGAGATTGTTAAAGAGAAGAGTTTGCTGTTGCAAAGCGTAACTTTAAAGCCCTTTAAATATTATCATGGAGCAACAGAAAAGTGAATTAGTATCTTAACCACCAATTATTTACTCGTTTTTTCCAGAGATCAAATTTATTTTAGTACAATGATTTGAAGATAATGGCTTGATATGCTGTCTCTCAGTGAACAAGCAAAAAGCAAAAGACAGACGACATTTCTTCCATTTTGCTTTTTCTGTATGTACAGTAGTACTCCACAAAATATTATCACAGAATGACCGCATGGTTGAGGTTGGTATGATCCATGTGGTCCAGCCTCAGCTCCCGCAGGAACACCCAGGGCAGGGTACCCAGGATCATGTCTAGGTGCCTTTTCCAAGGAGGAAAACCCACAGCTTCTCTGGACAACCCGTGCCAGTGCTCTACCAACTGCGCAGCACAGCAGTGCTTCCTGACGTTGAGAGACAACCTCCTCTGTTCCAGACTGCGTCCACTGTCCATAGTTCCAGCACTGGGCACCAGCGAAAAGAGCCTAAGTCCATCCTCTTCACACTCTCCCGTAAGGTATTTATAGACACCGATGTGATCATTCCTGAGCCTCCTCTCCTGTAGATTGAGTAGTCTCAGCTGTCTCAGATTCTCCTCATAGGAGAGGTGCTGCAGCCACTCTATTACCTCTGTGGCCCTTTGCTGGAAAGTTTTGTGTCACATGCAAACTTGCTGAGGATGCACTCTGCCCTATAAAGCAGATCACTAGTGAAGATATTAAACAGAACTGGGCCCAGTACTGGCCCCTCGGGCACACTTCTAGTTGCTGGCATTCGTTTTCTTACTACTCAGATTCCAAATAAACACATGATTAATGCTATCTGATACATTCTTTCTTCAGTCACAAATCTCTGGCAATTTTTAGGAAGGAATGAATGTATGTAACAGCTAACACAGTCTGCTTAAAGTAATTTGTAAGAGTAACAAAAGGTTTGCACAAACCATATAATTGAAACTACGAGTCATCTAAGTATTTCAAACCAGACTGACAGAACACAATGCATGATGACAACAGGAAAGGTGAGTGATTTTTATTTTTTTTTAAACACAAATTATGCTGGGCAGGCACATGAGCAGGCAAATATTGCATCCAGACAGCACCAATAGCAATGCTGGTGCAATGGAGCCTACAATGTCCTTCACTCAAAGGTTGCATAATCCACAGATGGGAAATGAAGGCCCGACTGGATGCCCTTGAAACTAAAGCCAATTTCAAATGACTTCCATTTTATCTTCCAAAAAATGGTTACATGTATTACACTTTCAAAGTCTGACAGGTGCTATCTTGGAATATTTAATTTTAAATTCTCAGGAAATCTTAAAAGAACAGAATAACATTGCAAACTCAACTGAGCAACAATCATCCTTCTTTTAATCTAAGAGGTTACTGACAGTTTCGTAGCTGACTCATAGATACTGCCAGAGAAAAGGAAGATAAAAACTCCATTGAAGTATGTCTAATTTATTGCATGTATAAACAGAAACATTCTGGTTATAGGAGACAGTTAAAATCATTTTAAAGCAATCCCCCCTCACTCCTTGAACACATACAAACCAGCAACACTACATTCAGAGCTGATGAAAATCACTGTGTTTATATACCATGGACTTACTGCTCTATACATAGGAATCATCTTTTAATTAGGAACAATGACTAGTAAGCCCTTATGAATGTGAAATTCTTCCAATCTCAACAAATTGAATCACAGTTGTGGAAAAGTACATCAAGAAACCTTATAGAAAAAGCATGTAAGGACACATGGAGTCACTCAAGACTAGACCCAATGAGGCCCTTGGCAGCCTCATCTACTGGGAGGCGCTCTCACACAAGGCAGGGAGGTTAAACAAGATAATGGTATCTTTAAGGTCCCTTCGAACCCAAGCTGCTCTATGATGCTACAACATTCTAAAAATATAGATATATCCTCAATCAATCAATATTCCTACTTTGACTACTGAGATTTCCAACAACTTACTTCAGAAAGAACTGAAAGAAAGATAACCTCAGCTTGATAAACTATGAGAAAAGATGCCTTTGCACACAGTCTTATTAAAAATTAAGAAACAAGTCCTTAATAAGAAAGGTCTATTTATACAACGTTCTACAACAAGATCAGATTAACTGTAGGTACAATCACAGAAGCAATGTTAAAATCCTTACAGCAAAAGTAGAAATCTCTTTCAAAGCAAAATAGTTATTGATAAAACTCTTCCTTGGAAATATCATTGAGGCAAGGAAAAGAGGCATTCTTCCGCTCTCAGTACAACTTGTAATGAACCAAATAGCAACAAAGTCGTTTCTAAAAGTTCCATCCTACAGAACTCTTCAATCAAATTTATCAAATTGATAATATGTGTATATTCTGCATAATAATTAACAGAGCATTCAGTATGAAAAATGACTGAAGTCTGCACTGAAAACTACTAGTGATTCTGGTCTTAAGTGACTAGTAATGACTTAATTTGTAGCGATTCTTACTCTTTTTTTGTTTCTTACTGATTCCTGTTGTGAATACTCAAAATGCTTGTGACTCTAAAATTAAGACTGCAAATTCTTACAGGAAGGCTGTAAACTTTGCTTTTCAGAGCCTGTGGACACTGATTAGAGAAGAAAAAAAAGCAATACAACTGTCTCTATTTTGCATAGCAACTCCAAATTTTCTCTCATTAGGTATCCTAAAAGACACTAGTAGCTTAAAAACAGAGAACTGTGAAGAACATGGCAGACAAATTACTTTTTTTATGATTTATGTAAATCTGCAATTTTTAATTTATAGGTTATCTTACATGTTCAGTGTTTCTGTATCAGAATATCTGTGCCATGAGAAGCACACTAACCTCTAAACAATATCTACGAACTACCAAAACTTATAACAACTTCCATTATTACTCCTCACAGTCAATTACAGGAAAATTAATGAAGTAGAAATAAAGAAAGAAGAAAACAAAAAAATCAAGAACATGTATAACTCAGATGAAGTAGCAGAACAATATATCCAGATATATTAATGTGAAAATTACAGTGTTGTTTCTATTTTTTTCACTATATTGCACATTCAGCAAGTTATTCCTGATACTTCAAAAATATTCAAAATACTTCTTGTGTGATAGAAGAGTATATGTGCAACAAATGAAGTGTCAAAGTTCAGATTGCTTTGTCAGCTGTGTCAGCTGTCAGCCATGCAAAAACAAGACATAAATTAGAGTACACGCAGTATTTCCAATCTGCTTTGCCTTCCTATCATGTAAGTGCATAATCATATGCTGGAGGACATCTGAATTTTGGTCACCTGAGACAGAGAGACTTCAGGGACACGTACAGTCCAGGCTCCGGGCCACTGAAGTATTAACTGCCTTGGAACCTCTCACCTCATGCTGAGGGACTTCTAAGGAGGTATTCTAAGGAGTACAGTAGCATAGGTGAGCCTTGTAACTCACCATGCTCAAGTGAATCCAGCTAACAAGCCATGTGCTTCTCTAACTCACTTTCTAAAGGTGAGAATCTAGCTTAAACAGAAATTCCCTTTATTAAATAACTCCAAGCTTCCATGAAACACTCGGGATAAAGCAGGTTCTGTCTGTGTTATTTTCTCCCAAATATTTTCTCCCAAACACTTGCGCAAGAAATTTTGCCTTTCCAGAAGAATAAAAATAACTTAT